GTTGGGGTGGGGGGGGCAGCATCACGGAAGGGGTCGCGGGAAGAATCCGGCGCTAGCAGCCCGTTGCCATGGGGATGGCGGGTGGCCCGGATGGCGGCGGTGGCGACGGTGGCGGCTGTGGCCATGGTGGCAACAGTGATGGCAGCAGCCACGGGGCCTGGCTGCAGGCACAGGGGGACACGGCATCCCCGGGGATGGGGACAGGGACAGTGTAGCCGTGCCCATGCCGGACAGTGCCACCCGCTCACCCAATGCCCCTCCAAGTGCCACCACCACCTCCCAGGACAGACGCCCCTGCCCATCCCCTGCCTGGAGGGTCCCCAGGGGCAGCAGGTGCCCCTGCTTTGCCTGGGGGGGTGTAGGGGGGCTGGGGCTGGGGACTCGGCAGAGCCTGGCAGCACCCTGGCCCCACCACACCGCGTCCCATGGGGGACACATGGGCCTGGGAGGGTGGTGGCCAGGCTGGGTCCCCGCATCCCAGGACACCAAGAGCCCCGCACCGGCTGGGACCATGGGGATCCTGCCACCGTCAGGGGACAAGGGTGAATCCCTCCAGGGCCTGGCACCCCCCCATCCCCTTCCCACGTGGCCCCAGGGAGACAGGATATGGTGGGTGCCAGCTCCTGAGGGAGGGAGGAGAGTCACGGATCCCCCCCGTGGGAGTGGGAGGCGTGGATCTGTGCCTCAGTTTCCCCACTGGCCGGGGGCAGATGTCCCCAAAAATCCTGGCAAGGGGCGGGGGGGACACACGCAGTGGCTGGCGGGTGACATGGATAGATGAGGGGGGAAAACACGTTGCCATGGCAACCAGGATGGGCTGGATTTTGGGGAAAGCAAGAGAATAGCCCCCAATGGCACCCTGGTAGCCGCCGAAGGGACCATGCCTACCCCTGCAAAATCTCCCTCCGCTATGGAGGAGGGTGCTGTCCCCCCTCCCCCAATGAGGTCTGCCCCCACCTAACACCCCCACCCCATTTTTACCTCCCCCAACCCTGCGCATGGATTGGGGGGTAAAATCTTCCCGTACCACGGCCTTGAGGGCAAATGAGCCCCCCCAAAACCAAGCTCCTCCTCAGCTCCCGCTAGCACCAGCTTGGGGGGGGTCATGGATGTGGGAGGTGCTGGGAGAGTGGAAGGACCCTGGGGGAGGGAAGGGGG